GGACCCTGGATTCATGACCTGAGCTGAAGGCAGATGCTAAACGGACTGAGCCACCCAGGTGTCCCAGTCTTTCACTTTTTATTGACTTTTTTCTGATTACTAAAGCCATACTTACTCATTATGTAAAATTCAAACATCAAAGATACAGAGAATACAGCAAGTATACATCCCTGTAATCCTATCCCTCCCCAATAATATAACTATCTTTGGTAATTTGGTGCTTTTATCATTTCATTATCATCTATGATCAACATGATTTCATAAACTTCCAAAATTTTTATACTATATCATAGCCATCGAGATGGGAAGAAAAGGATTATATTAAAACTCACTTAATAAAATTTGCAAGAAAACCCTCACCCTACTTTATTTTTCCTTTTCAGTATCTTTTTTTCAAAGCAACCTGCTTCCTTAATATTAACTTTCTGAAGCAGTTTCTGGTAAAAAGAAGTTGCTTGGATATTACTGTCAAGTCATCTGACAGCTCACAGGAATTGATCAGAAAAATGTGCCTGCAAATTGACAGAACTTGACAGACCAGACAGGTCTTTCATGTGTGTATATTTTTATATTTCACACACACACACACGCACGCACGCACACACACACACCATTTATGTTGAGCTCAAAGTTTTTCAAAGAGGCTGCCAAACCTCACCTTTTGTTTATAAGAAAAATGGACCCTGGGCACAAACATATTCACCCTATTATGTGTGTCTGCTCCAGAAGGATGATAAACCATTTTACACCATTTGCTTCGAAAACATGTTTTTGTCAGGAGAGCTACCATTCTGGACTCTGTCATCATGTCTTCAGTTTCCTGGAGAAAGAGCATGGAGTTCAGCAAAGGTCAGATAGACACAGGTGTGAATTCCCTTTCTGCCTCTTATTTGCTTTGTGACCTTCGCTTACTTAAGCCATCTGTGAAATGGCACATGACTCAAAATGTGCTCATGAAAATTCACCAGGATAAATGGAATGCAATTAACTCATCGCCTGGCACATAGTAGTTGCTCAATAAATATTACTTCCTTTCCCTACTTAAGTTTTTCCAGAATGCTTTTACCTCTGTTTTCATGGAAAAGTCACTGATTGATGAATATCAATGAATATCACATGTAGTCCATAACCTTTTTTTTTAAATTTTTTTAAGTTTTTATTTAAATTCCGGTTAGTTAATATACAGTGTGATATTAATTTCAGGTATACAATACAGTGATTCAGCAGTTTCATACATCACCCAGTGCTCATCCCAACAAGTGCGTTCCTTAATCCACATCACTTATTTCACCACTCCCCTACCCTCTTCCCCTCTGGTAACCATCAGTTTGTTCTCTGCAGTTAAGAGCCTGTTTCTTGGTTTCTCCTTTCTCTCTTTTTTCCCCCTTTGCTTATTTGTTTTGTTTCTTAAATTCCACATATGAATAAAGTCATAGGGTATTTGTCTTTCTCTGACTGACTTATTTTGCTTAGAATTATACTCTCTAGTTCCATGCATGTTGTGCAAGTGGCAAAATTTCATTCTTTTTTATGGCTGAGTAATATTCCATTGTATGTATATGCCACCTCTTCTTTATCCATTCATCAGTTATCAAAAGAAAGGCTTCTGCACAGCAGAGGAAACAATCAACAAAACTAAAAGACAACCTACAGAATGGAAGAAGATATTTGTAAATGACATATCTGATAAAGGGTTAGTATACAAAATATATGAAGAACTTATAAAACTCAACACTCAAAAAAACAAATAATCCAATTAAAAAATGGGCAGAAGACATGAATAGACATTATTCCAAAGGAGACATCCAGATGGCCAACAGACACATGAAAAGATGCTCAACATCACTCATCATCAGGAAAATGGAAATCAAAACTACAATGAGATATCATCTCATACTTGTCAGAATGGCTAAAATCAACAACACAAGAAACAACAGATGGTGGTGAGCATGTGGAGAAAAGGGAACCCTCATGCACGGTTGGTGGGAATGCAGACTGGTACAGCCACTCCGGAAAACAGTATGGAGTTTCCTCAAAAAGTTAAAAATAGAATTACCTCTATAATCCAGCAAATGCACTGTTAGGTATTTACTCAAAGAATACAAAAATACTAATTCAAAGGGATACATGCCTCCCAGTGTTTATAGCAGCATTATTTACAATAGCCAAATTATGGAAACAGCCTAAATACCCATCAACTGATGAATGGTTAAAGAAGATGTGGTCTATATATACAGTGGAATATTACTCAACCACAAAAAAGAATGAAATCTTGCCATATCATTACTTTTAGCCAGCTGATCTGTGGCACAGGAAATTTTTCACGTATTTCCTATCTCTCATACTGAAACGTTCACATATAAAAACAGGTGTAAATCCTACCTGTCCTCCTGTGTTCAGGGCTATTATGACAAGACTCAAAGGAAGAAAGATCACTGAACACTGGGATGGCTGTTTCCAAGGTGTTTGTTCTCATTGCTACCTTTGCTAACTGATGGCCATGCTTACTTTATTATGTATTAAGAACAAGATGGGTTACTGTGACACGTTTTCTAGATGGGGAATTGAAACTCACATATCAGTGGCTTCAGTGATTTAGCCAAGGTCAAACAGCTGGTAAATGTGACCAGAATGCAGATGTCAGATTCTTAGACTAGAGCATTTCCTGCTCTACCCTTCCCCACCGCCAACACACAGTGCTCCAGACTATCATTAGTCTGAGTCACTCAGAGCATGTTCTGCCCCCAAAGAGTATGGTTGACTGAATTCACCTACTGAGCCTCTCAGCCTCAGTGTTCTCAGCAAAATCTCAATCAGTGATTTATTTGATCAGTGGTTCTTAAATGCTCTTTCACAATCAAGTATCAGTAAGTTCAATTTGTGGCCATGAGATAAAATACACACATACTTATCTGCAATGTAGTGAGTTTTCATAATAATTTTATTCAAAAAACTTCCTTTTAGGAATGTCTTTTTACTTTTTTAGTGTTAAAAATGTCCTTTCTTTCATAAAGTCATGGGGATAGTGGATGGTACTTGGGTTATTTTGTTTGTTGATGGATTTTTTCATACTTCTTTGGCAAAATGCAAAATTGAACTTTATAGCAGTCCTTTGTTTTTTTTTTTTTTTAACATAACTGTCCCATGGATGCCACAAATCTGGAAACTGCCAGGACCCGTAGGCCAAATACTCTCTGGCTCTGTTCCAGCCATACACTAGGGGTCTTAGAAGACACAGCTGAAGGTCTGGAGCTTCCCTTGTTGATCAGACCCCCACCAGAAGGTCTCTTGCAAAATTAGCTGCAACAAAGCAGCCAGAAGACAGGAACCACAAGTTACTAAAAATAACCCTGGGACAGCTGTGCATGCCATCAGAGTTCTGAAGATTGCATCTGAGCCCATTTGGGAAGGTTGGCAAAGTCCTGGCCATCTGATCGAGGTTGGGAGTCTCTCGTGCCAGTTCTTCTCTTTTCCCTGTCTGATATTTGTGTTTTGTATTGGGAGAGTGATTTCATTCATTCGTTACCCAAACACAATGGCTGAATCCCCCGATCTGATGAGGAAACCAGCACGGTGCTGTATAAGTTGGCAGGACAAAGGTACCCATTGTACTGCTGGTGTCTCAGGGGGTCCTTTTCTGTGTGTGCCTCCTCTCCTCTGCCCTTGGACCCTGCTTTCCCAAGGAGAGCCTCACACTCACAAAGCCCATAAGTTTTTAGGACTTCAGATCTGAGATACATCTCAGAGGTCATACGGTTCCACCCGTGTAGCTGAGGAAGCCAATTGGAAAGTCATCTGCCCACGATCACAGACAGATGTGAGAAAACTGGGACAGGAGTCCCACTCCTCATCACAGAGGCAGGTCACACTGATGTAGTACCCTATGTGCTGGACCCCATAATAAGCCTCCACAGACATCATCTTATGGTCCTCGCAGTCAAACAATGAGGTCCCCTTCATTTACCATTTTACAGATGAGGCAACTGAGGCTCAGAAGTTAAGTAGCTGTAGGGAGTGTAGGATTTAATACTGTGCAGTGGGACTCTTTAGCTGGTGCTTTTAGCTCCTACGTTATGTTGCCTCAAGGTCTCTTTCCTTGAAAACCTGCATCATCCAGCCTCTTCCCATTCAGCACGAAAATGCACCATTTCCCTGGTGCTTTTTTCTCTGAGACTTGGTAAGAATCGTGTCCTCAAGACTGCGAATCTGCCAAACAACTGTGCCATCCTCCTTACCTATGATGTATCAAAGGTGCTACCCTTACCTTAACAAGGTTAAAAATTGTACCTACTTCATAAGGTTGTTGTGAGGGTTAACTCTGTTTAATATAGGGTGCATCATAGGGGTGGTTATTAATTATCTTTGTGTCAGGGACAATGCTTGACTTAATCATAGTGCCCTATTGGCATTTTTTTTCAATGAACAAGCATATGAACTCACACATGAATAAAATGATATGTAAGACATAGTCAGCCCCTCTTCTTAAGGTGCCAGTACCCTAGTTGGGAAAGGGTCTAAAATAGAGTTGAAATAGTAGGTATCCCTGCATGATTTATATTTTTCAGTGCTTTTATTGAGCTAAGACTGCTAAAAAGTGTTAATTCAGAAACCTGTCCTGTGAAAAAAGACATTGATGAGCAGGATTCACAGGGGAACACTGAATATGGGTGTTCAATGCCCACACTTTGCCAGGCCTGCCCACATGATGGGTGTTCATCTGAAGGCTAGTACGTGGCAGAGCCGGGATACAGCCCTGTATCTGTTGAGCTCAAAGTCCAGTGTTTTTCCATGACTCCATTCCACCTCTGAGGCCTTCAAACTCTTATTTAGGATAGCCCTCCCCCAATCTCTTAGGAAGATGATAGAAGCGCATTTCAAAGGTAGGTGCTCCCCCAGCCCCAGGGTGAAGACCACTGCCCACTGCCAGCCTTTCCAAGCCTTTCAGAAGCACTTACCTGTGTGCTGACTCAGTCCTCTTCTCTCCGCCCTGTTCCTTCCAGGAGCATCATTGCCTTCGCATTAAAATCCTGGGGGACTGTTACTACTGTGTTTCAGGGCTTCCTGAGCCCCGCCAGGACCACGCCCACTGCTGCGTTGAAATGGGCCTCAGCATGATCAAAACTATCAGGTAATCTGGCATCTCTTCCATAATACCCAGGCCTTCGATGTGCATGAACACAAACCACCCCATCTGTCCTTTGTGGTAGATGATGTGTGTGTTGAAAGGTGACACGCTTTGACTTATGGCACAAAAACTTCATGCCCATTAACTCTCTCATATGAACCCATGAACCTGCCAGCTTCATTATGTTCCTGGTATACCTTCCTTCCAATAATTGTCCAACATATTTGTATTACCAGTGTTCTTGTGGGGATACAGCTGTTTTCTAAAAAGTGAGCAAACCTTAGATCCTGGGGGAGTGGAGAGTGTGATTTGACACGTGGGGGGTCAGGATATGATACAGTGACAGCTGATGAAGCCTGGGGAGGAAAGGGTGGTGACAGATGGATTGCAGACTGGAAGCAGGCAGGGCTCACAGGGCCTTCTCAGCCTTGGTAAGGATTGTACTTTAGCCTGAGGCCAACAGGAAATCATTATAGGGCCACCACCAGGGTTGGCTTCATGAGTGTGTGACAAGTGCTTTTGGCTTTGGTCAGTGTATCTGACAAATAGAAGCTTAATCAAGAGGGCAACAGTTATTGAGGTCAAGGATTTTGGAATTAGACTGCTTGTGGCTTTGGGACAGAAGCTCAGTGGTGTCAGAGCTCCCCTTGAGGTTCCAGATAGGAGGCTCCAAATCGAGCCTCCAGGCATTGCAACCTTCGCCGGCCACAACAAAGACAGAAAAGAGGGTACATGGGTAGAAATCTTCTCTGTGGCTTATGCCTTCATCTTATAAGGGAAGAATAATCCTGCCATTAACAGGCCAGAAAAATCTTCCAATGAATTCATGCCTTGGTTGTGTGGTCTAGTAGTTATGTTCATGACCCTTGACTGTATCAGTCTGGTTTAAAGAGCAGTAGGAGAGCAACTCATGTACCCCACACACATCCTCCACTGAAGGCTCAGATCACCTGCTGGCTTCCAAGACCAATCCTGGAGTGGGCAGGAGGGATGTAAGCAGTTGGAGCCATGACCAACACAGTGTGCCTGACTCCTTCTACGTGCTGACAGATCCCTGACTTCATTCAAGTTTGGGGCAGAGGTCTGTTGACTTCAGGAAAGGCTGTGTAGTCCCCTAATTCAGAAAAGGATGGAAGCTCTTTCCCTAAATATGATTTTGCTTCATCAATGTGACACTGGTCTTTTCAAGGCTTAGCCAAATATCACATTCCTGGTGGGCAGATACGCTACCCTGGCAGACCCTTAGGGTCCCACCTCTGGAACTAACCCATCACCAGGGCCCAATCAAGGTGGCACTGTGCTTTGCTATGGGGTGTATGATGAAAACCCAACCATCACCATCCCTAAGAGCAAGTAGACTGGTGGAGAAAGAGATAGGACATGCCCCCTCTTTGACGGAAATGCAGAAGTTCTCACCTTTAGGAACTGTGGAGAGAGGAGCCCACACATTCCAAATCAGAGTTCCCTTTTGTTAAATGGAAAAGCTTGCAGATGCTTCTTAGTTGTTAATTTAGACACTTGTGAGTCTTGTTCTGAAAACTGGGGTGAATTGTAGTATTTTAACTAGCTTCAAGGGAGGCAATGGGGCTGACACGCAGAAGACTTGCTGTCTTGTATGCATTCTACAACTAATTACATGTGTGAACTTTATTCTACCAGCCAATTAGTAGGTAGATCAACCAAAAAAAAAAAAAAAAACCCAAACAAAACCTGTGGAGCTCTACCAAGTGTCAGATGCCGCCATGCTAGTCGCCAGAAGTCCAGTGATGAACAGGTCACAGGGCGTCATTCTCTTGCCCATGGGTGTCCATTAGGGAGATGACTTGGATTTTCTGTTTGTGAAATGAGGAAATTGGGCCAGACCAGCTGTGAAGTCTTTGCCAGTTCTGAAAATCTGTGATTTTTGGTTAACCACATCAAAATCAAGTTTAAGTAGCAAAACTTGCCACAGGCTTTCTTTTTAATTTATTTTTATTTTTTATGGTGGTATAATTGACCAAAAAAAATGGTATGTATTTAAAGTGCAGAGCATGATGATTCGATATATGGATACATTGTGGAATAATTATATAGTCGTTAATTAACACATCCATTGCCTCACATAGCGATCTTTTTCTTTCTTTCTTTTTTTTTTTGTGAGAACGTTTAAGTTCTACTCTTCTGGCAAATTTCAAGTACAGCATTATTAACTATAATTGCCATGCTGTACATCAGATCCTCAGAACTTACTCATAATGAAAAGTTTGTACCCTTTGACTAGTATTACCCCATTTCCCCCACCCTCCCTTAACGCTGGCAACCACCCTTCTACTTCGTTTCTATGAATGTGACTTTTTTTGGTTTTGGGTTTGGGTTTTTTTAGATTTCACATATACAGTATTTTCTTTCTTTGTCTGCCTTTTGTCGTTTAGCATAATGCCCTCCAGGTTCATCCTTGTTGAGGCAAACGGTAGGATTTCCTTCTTTTTTAAAGCTAATTAATATTCCATCCTTATATGTGTGTATATACAAGGATTTTCTTCTTTATAAGAGCTGATTAATATTCCAGTATATATATGTGTGTGTGTGTGTGTGTCTATAGATACCACATCTTCTTTAACCATTCATGTACAAACTTGCCATAGGAGTTTGTATCTTGAGCTTAGAAGAAATGCTGCAGAGATGATATTGCAGAAAAAATGAACAGTGATTATCAAAATGCTTAAGATACTTAGGACGTTATCATTTATCTCTCTGGAAGGGACCTTATTCCTCCTGACCATTTTATCCAACTTAAGGGCTCCTCTCTCGAGTTCTGGAGTAGGTCAGTGAGAGGTGAGAAGTGGATAAGTTGAAATGACTCAAGGACTTTCTCTCACCCGTTGCTTAAGGGCTGCTTTCATTCTCTTAGAATAAGACAGTTCAGTAGGATATTTTTTTAACTGCATGAATCAGAGTCTATTAATACTCAAACACTCCTTGATTATAATGTAGGTGACAGGAGGTCCAGCATTAATTCTTCCAGTTAGCAAGAAAACATGAGGCAGAGGAATACATGAGAACTCTGGAAGAGGCAACTTCAGTTGCAATGGGCTCAGACTTCTAGAGCTCCCACCCTTACAGTCAAATATTGCAGTGTGAGGAAGGATTGGCAGACAATATCTCTACCTGAGTGCATATAGAAGAGAATCCCATTTACATAACTTTATCACAGTCTTAACATCACTTACACAAGATGCGATTTTCTTCTTCAGACCCAAAGGCACTTGTTCCAACCGGGAAACTTAAGAGAAGCCATAAAGTCTGGAACCATATATAACATGACACTGTGTGTGTTGTCATATAATGAAAATAAGCCATTTATTTACTGGTGTGCCCAGATTTGATGGCTGCCCTGTGTGTTTGTCATCAGAGATGGATCCCTATTTGAGGTATTGTCCCCACTTGGTCAGGGTCTCTCCTTGTTCTTTTTTTTTTTTTTCTTTTTGGCATTTCCGCAAAGAGTTAGGGTCCCGTGCTGGTCCACAGAGTGCAGACTGGCAGTGAGGAGCTGGTGTTTTGTTGGTGAGATGGCATCTGGATCTTGGGTCTCTAGATCTCAGGAGCTCCAGTAGTTTCTTTGTTCAGTGAGATTTACAATTTTGGCACAAATGGCAAGCCAGCACTCAAAAGGGCCCTGTACCTTAGTCACAAATGAGTCTAAATATGGGCTGGAGGTCCTCCTACAATCGTAGACAGGTGAGGACAGGTGCCAAGCTGACCCCGAGGTCAGGTGCTGCTGCTTAGAGCGCCGGCAGGACACAAGTGAGCAAGAGTCGAGGCAGAAGAACAAGCATGACAGAAGTAGTTTCCCCTGCATTTTGTCTTCAGATGTATCTCCACAGTAGTCGTTTTGACTGAGAAACAGAGGTGTTTTCCTGGAAACAGAGACAGGAAGAATATGCCATCCTAGCTGTTAAGAATGGCAGAAGCCGTGTGTGTGTGTGTGTGTGTGTAAATGTGTGTGCATGTGTGTATGTATATAAATGTGGTGTTTATTTCTATCTGAGTGTATGTGGCATGTCTGTGCACAGACGTGTGGTATGTGGGTGTGAGTGCATGAGTGTGCATGTCTATACACATGCGTAGGCGTGTGTATGTACACGTGTGCGTATTTGTGCAGGCGTGTGTGTATTGAGCATTTGAAGCAGGCCTTTGTGATCACAATTCTAAATTCAGACAGTGAATTTAGAGTTCAGAGTTAGTGCACAGTTAGTTGATGACCTTGTGAGACAACTGTGGCTTTGTCCCTCAGGCAGTGGGTTCTCACCAACACTTAAAGTAGGGAGGCATCATTTCCCAGCTGGGGCGTGAAGAAGGTAATTGTGGACATAAGTAACTCTCTCTTCAGTTAACTCTAGAGAAGAGGAGGCAGATGCTGAAGGAAGGAAACTGGTTGGAAGATATTTTTGTAGCAATTCAGGGAAGAGATGTCAGGCCCTGAATAGAACACGAGCTGTGGAGGAGAAAGGGGACGGTGATAATATTCCATCCAACCGGAGATCGTGAGAGCCTCTGTAAGAAACAATACATGATATGGACATTTAAATTAAACAAAACACTTGTCAGGATGGTGAGCTTATGTATCAGTTGACAATGCTCCAATAATTTTAGACAGGATTCCATTTTATTGAAGATAGAGTTCATTGCTAGATCTTGCTGACATGGATGTTCCCTGAATGGTGACTTCTGGGGAATGTCCTGAGGGTACGTATGGAGGGAGCCCCTGGCCTGCAATCAGCAGACCTCATCTGGTTTCTGCTTCTTCCTATCATTAGATACGTGGCTGGGGACAAGTGTGACATCACTTCTCAGAGCCTGTGTGGCCTCTTCTTTAAATGGGGATCATAAGATCCCAACTTCAGAGTGTTCTTTTGAAAATTCAAATAGATAGCAGGCACATGGTGACCATACAGATATTTAATAGAATCTTGTAGTTAGGGCTGAGTTTGGACACTGGGAAATTTGACTCAGTTAAGTTATAG